AAAAAAAAAAAAAAAAAAAAAATTTTTTTCAAAGTTACTCCTTTCAAGCTTTCCATTAGCAGTTTCAGCCTCAGCATACTCTGCCATTTGTCAGTTACAAGACCTTGACCTCTTGGGCCTTAGTGTTCCTCTATGTAAAATGAGGGTACTAGAACCTCCTCCGTAAGATCGTTATGAAGCAGATGATTAGCACATGCGGAGGGCTTGGCACAGCCCAGGAAGCTCTGCATGATGCATAGCTGTTATCTTAGACACCGAGACTGTCACACCACCATAGAAATGAGGATAATGATCTGCTTCTTTCAGCGAGCAGTGCCTCGGAGCATGTGTGACACAGCACTCACTCAGGGCTTCATGCTCCTCTGCATGTCCTATTGTCACTGTCATTCCTATTCTAAAAGTCCAACCTCTGGGCCCAGTGAGGAGTGAGCAGGACGTAAGTGATGGTCCTCCCTCCCTCAGCCTAGGCTCCAGCTTTCCCACAGAGGTGACATTTACACAGGAGCTAGGTTCGTACCAGACACAGAGGGCTGTGGGACATTGTCACTGGAAACACAGACTCGAGAGTTTAACAACCTGGGTCTGAATCCAGGCTCTGACCCTTCCAGGATGCGTGAACTCAGGCAAGTTACTTAACCTCTCTCAGCCTCAGATTTCTCACCTGTAGAATTAAGATAATAATAGTATTTTCCTGGAATGCTTGTTGGGAGCATTAAATGAGACAATACAGGTTAAAAGCACTTAGAAGGTTTTGTTAGCTGCCTTTCACTGAAGAAACAAGAGATAGAATTACTACAAAATATTTCGTGGGGGGTCTGTGAGGAATTGTGGGGGCTACCCAAGGCAGACCAGAGCAGTGTCCCCACAGCTAAGCTTGCTGGTGCCTGTGAAACCAGCTCAGGCCATCACATGCCTGCAAAGAAAGGAAAGACCTTGTAGTCCTGTCTAGGACCTTCTTTATCCCAAGGGGTGGAGCTTATTTTGCTTCTGCCACACGTGAGCTGGCTTGACAGAGCACGAATGTTGGACTGATTGCCTCATGCTTTAGAAAGGATCATGGGGTCTTGGGGAGAGGATGATCAGTGATAGCTTATACCATTAAAGACAAAGACTCATGAAACGTTGGGGAAAACGTGAACAAAATATGTAACAGATGGTCAGTATGCTTAATGAATCATGTGCTCTTGGAAATTATAATAAAAAGATGTGCAAAGGACATAGCAGTTTGCATAAGAATAAACACCACTAGTAGCAAACATTTTGTTTTTAAAGTTGTACACCTCTAGTTATCTAAGGAAGTCAAAATAAAACAAGAGTGAGGTAGCATTTCTCTTTTCATTCAATTGTTGAAGATTTTTTATTAAATGGTACTACCCCTTGTAGGCTAGGGGCTGGTGAGACAAGCTTTCCTATATAACTGGCAGGAACACAGTCCTTCTGTGAAGAACTTGGAAATATGCCTCAAAACTATTAACATTTACAATTCCACTCTAGGAATTTAGCTTTAAGAAAAATGCACAAAAGTTATTATCATTATTATAGTAAAAAATATTGTTAAACCTAAATGTTTAATGATAAGGGGGACTATAATTCGATTATGGTTTATCTGTAAAATATAACACGCTACCACAATCAAAGCCCATGTTTTAGAAAAATATAAGGGGAAAATATTCATGAGATATTATTGAATGAGAAAAAGCAGTCTACAAAATAGGGTGTACAATATGATTCTAGGTTTGTGGAAAGAACCCTGTGCCAAATACATCATTTATTCTTTCCCTCTTACACATTTACACACGTTCTCAGTCAGCTTAGCACTGGTGACAGATAGTTTGCACAGTAGATTTTGTTGACAATCTACATTTTGATGGCAATCTACATTTTAATTTTCAACAAGACTTTTGGGTTAATGCAGAGTCTGCTGGATTTCGAGTCTCCTGAAGATATGGAGCTAGACCCAGGTGAACTAGGAGGCTCGGCTAAGGTACTGGATATTAAATATTACATTTATATAACTGATTGTTAATGGTGTTTGTCTATGGGTCAGAGGATTTACAGCAATTTTACTTTGTGATCTTTATTGTCTAGATTTCCTAAAACTGTATGTATCCTATAACTCATAGTCAAGAAAAAAATCAAAGGCAATTTTAAAGTAGGGATTTGCAGCCCAAAGGGAAGTGGTAATATATTTTCTTCCTTCCACATAATTTTTTTTTTTTCAGACAGAATCTCACTCTGTTGCCCAGGCTGGAGTGCAATGGTGCAATCTTGACTCACTGCAACCTCCACCTCCCGGGTTCAAGCGATTCTCCTGCCTCAGCCTCCCAAGTAGCTGGGATTACAGGTGCCCACCACCATGCCCAGCTAATTTTTTTATTTTTAGTAGAGACGGAGTTTCGCCATGTTAGCCAGACTGGTCTCGAACTCTTGACTTCAGGTGATCCACCCGCCTCGGCCTCCAAAGTGCCGAGATTACAGGTGTGAGCCACTGCGCCCAGCCAAAAAAAATTTTAATGGGAACAAAATTAAGCAAATACGTAAAATGCATACATAAAAGACTGGAAGTAAATAAATATGATAAAATGTCTGCTATGGTTTTCCTGAATGGTAGGATTATGTTTTCTTCTTTGTACCTCTTAGTGTATCTAATTTGTATGTGTTATGTCTTGTTCTCCTCTGTGTGTGTGTGTGTGTGTGTGTGTGTGTGTGTGAACTCTAAGAGTCTGCCAAAGTTCCCTTAGAAGAAATGGTGACTGTGACCACATCAGGTTGGAAAGAAATCTGTGGTTTAGCAGTGGGGTTTCTCTTCCATTTTCTATAGAATATTCTAGTTTTAGCAATAAACACTTAAGACATGTCTCATGGGTCAGTCATTTGCATGCCCTTTCTGCTCAGAATGGATGACAAGGACCCCTTGAAAACAGAAGCAGCTCAGGACACAGGTAGTATTTTTACAGCCGGGAGCAAGAGGAGCTACCCCTAGTTAGAGGAGTTTAATAATGTTTTTAAGGATTTTTCTGAAACCTATATTATACAATTCAAAACCCTAGCCACCTCATGTTTTGTGAAGAAGGGTTAGTGGAAGGAAGGGGGATAGGAGCATGTGAGGATCTGAAAGGAAACTGAGCATTCAGTGTTAGGTAAGGAGAAAGATGCCTGGTATAAGAACTTTTTTAAAAAATTTGTTTATTTGTTTATTTTTTTGAGACAGAGTCTCACTCTGTCACCCAGGCTAGAGTGCAATGGCATAGTCTCAGCTCACTGCAGAGGTGGAGACCTCCTGGGTTCAAGCTATTATCCTGCCTCAGCCTCCTGCGTAGCTGGGATTACAGGCACCCGCCACTACACCTGGATAATTTTTGTATTTTTAGTAGAGATGGGATTTCATGACGTTGGCCAGGCTGGTCTTGAACTCCTGACCTCGTGATCCACCACCCTCGGCCTCCCAAAGTGCTGGGATTACAGGCATGAGCCACTGCGCCCTGCCAAGAACTCTTAATCCCTTATTGATGATGTTAAAATAAATTCAGGTGAGAGTCTGTAGTCTTACCAAGAAGTGAAGCTTCTTTATTATGAATGAGAAGGGATGAATCCATGGTACGTTGTTCAGAGGCAGCAGCATGATCTGTTCCATTCACCAGCCCTGTCACTCATGTCTCTCATCCAAAGATGCAAATACCCAGTGCTTCTGCATAGATTGAGAAAATATTAAACCCTTTGACTACATTGTGCTGTAGAGCACAAAAAGAGTCAGGGCTAGATGGGGAGCAGCAAAGGGGCTAGCTGTTCTTTATTGTAGAAATTGAGATGTTAAAAAAATACATTGAATAAACCAAAAATTTTTTTTATGTGTATTTACCAGGTAACAGATAAATACAGCATGTCGGTAGCAGGGAGATAAAATACCGCAAACCCATGCAAAAGCCTTTTGAGCTGAAACAATCATCCCAATCACATCCTAAATGTCACTATGGTTATAATTGGAACACTGATCTCTTTAATTAGTTACTGCTTTTCCGCTGAATGCTGAGTCTCTATGTTTGGGAGGTACAGAGCACTGGCTTATCTCTTTGGCATCTGTAATGGGGTGCAGTATGGGGAGGGCCAGGGACAGTGGAGGAAGGAAGAACAGAGTCGGGGGAGATTCA